ATATATACAGTATCAACAAAGGATAAATAATAATAACAGTGCTATATTCTGGTAGGGAAGAGTATGCCGATCTCCTAAGAAGGAGTATAACAGAAGAGTAAAAATATGGTCGAATGATAGGAAAGGTCCACCACCTTGCAATTAAAGACGCACAGGATCAGTCATGATCAGTGCCGCCTCAGGCTCCAAGGACCTGTAGTTAGGAAATAGCATCACACGAGCATCGGCTGCGAAGAAAACCGCATTTGGGGGTAGATAAACCAGTTTAATATAAATATGTACTGTAGTAGCATCTCTATAGAAATATTGATTAACGATTTTCTACTGTAGGCCTACAATGGAAATTATTTGTTGTGTCGTTATGACCTTACTCTTTACCACTTTCTAGCAACTGATTCAATCAATGCGTTGCTATGGCAACCGATATCGCATTAAAAAGCGGCTTGATTCAGCTTTAAATAGGCCTATTATTGCTAATTTATGCAACAGATATTAAAAACGACATTGCCACATGTTGGTGAGCCCACACCTTGATTGAATAATACAATGCGTCAGGGTACACAGGACTTTGGAGTGAAAATGTGACTGACTAGAAAGTAGGCCTACGGTTAGGTCTATTATAATGTGGTGACGCCAATAGAGGGGGTCCGTGACAACATGGCCCTTGTCGGGGAACCCACCCCCGTCAAAGAAGAAGCCAATCCTGGCTCCCAAATTCAGTGTTTCGGCTTCCTCACCAGGGGGCCTTGGATTTCAAATTCAATTTTTCTTATTCAAAAAACACACATCGAAATCTCTACAAGGGCTGAATTACACGATATTTACAATAAAAACTGTTAAGTATAATTTCAAGCATTAATTCATTAATTTCAACCTTCCAGTTATTAGTTTCCAAAGGGTTAACTTTCAAGCCAACGTCCCTGTCAGTGGCGACGGCGCCCCCCCCCCCTACCTTCACCCCACCCCGTCATCGGAGGCCGAAACGTTGAGGTCGTTGAACCAAAAATATTAATTTGACTATACAAATAAGGTTAATTTTATTGGCAATCTATATTATTGTTGTCTAAAAACTTAATTGTGGGCGACCGGCCATACTAAGCCATAGTTTCCTTTCCACTACCAACAAGATGAAATATTTACTCAAAAAATAATATATGTACTTACCGCAGTAGGAAGAAAATGTTTTAACAAAAGTCTCACAAAAGCCTTTACATCTGATTCTTTAGTATAATTGTCAAAGTTAGTCACCACAATGTTTTGGCAAAGTAAGGGTCTTGGCCTAGAAACGTAAACGTCGAGTTGGTAGTCAAGGAGTTCTTTCAACAGTCGGATCCAGCATAATATATGGATGCCAGAAGACTGCCTCTGGGATGCGATTGGCAGTAGACGAAACTGTACTGTACTCTGTGTGTGTGTGTCAATAGATCGACCAACAGAAGTCACAATAGCACATTGATTTTTCGAGAAAAATAAAAGCAATTGAGACTAGTAGCTTAAAACCCCAGGGCAAAATGCTTTCCTACATTATAATTACAGTTATTAATAGGAATTGATCTGTGCTATATTGACAGGTCCCTGGTGTACATACCTTAAGGTGGCGCTATATGTAATACAGATGCTTTTGCCCATTGTTTAATATGAACCTACCAATATTCAACATCATCGACATCATATATGATATTTATGATAAAGGTCATCAGCACCATCATCAACAGTAACATCATCATCTTCTTAATAATTGTCCGATGTTACAGTTTCAATGTTCCGATAAATCAAGTTTACGGATGGAGTATGTGAATTGAACCTTAACCGAGTGATCCTGAAAGATTGTTTCAATATGTTATTTGAAGATGATGGTAGTAGTCCTATCATTTTTTATCCTTTATCTTTTTTACTACTGTATTAGTTCAACTCATAATTAACTGGATATTTAAAGTTCACAGTAACTAACCTTAACGAGTGACGACTCAAAAGATTGTCATTGGAAGATATTTGTTATTACTAAAGTAGTCCTCATAATTAACTGAATACCAGTATGTTTAATGCTTACAGTAACTGACCTTAATATGCCATTTTCTTTTGGATCATTTCTTAGTGTTTTGTTGTTTTTTCAAATATACCGTTATGTGTACTATATTCTGTAGATGGTTTGCCAACAACGAAGTAATTTCTTGCACTGTTTTGCTTTAAAGATCAATAAAAATTCTGTATTTTTTTAATAAGCAATGTATATTTGTAACTTATACTACGAAGGTGGTGAGTTTTCAAAAGTTCTACAAAGTCATTTATGACAGAAACTGACTCACTCTATCACCCTTTGACAGAATGGTTTGGGCTTTTCAGAATTATAGACAGAGGTTTGTCAGGCGAAAAATTCACAGTTCAGTATAAAGGACATACTAATCTGTGCCTAACCCGTGACGTGTAATTCAAAGCCTATTTTGGTTTGTTTAAAAGCTTCTGTTTACCGTCGCCATAATCTATGCTTTAAATATATCTTTTGATAGACATCAAACGACTCCTGAGGTAAGTTTTCAGTGAAACAAAACAGTTTTGGAACTTCAAGTTGTATATTGTATACAGTAGAGAAAATGTACGCATAGGCTTATTTTATAGATCGGTTAACTCCTACTGTGGCTCTCTGACTGTCGCTCTCAAAGACTTTATATTTTCTATCAACGACTGAGTTGCAATACATAATGTATTATTGTTTACCTTTATGCTGAGTCTACCTCCTTGACGTAGGGATACAAAGAAACGGTGTTTCCTGTAGGAGCCTAGAATACCTTATCAAAACCTGTAGGCCTACTCACTGGGCCCAAAGACCTATGAATCAATACTGATTGTGATTGTTTTAGAATGAAAAAACAAAATCGGTTTGTGCGCGTCCTAAATTGTTGTGATCATTGTCTCGTTTCTAGAAAATCGCGAAAATTATGGCGCACGAAACAAAAGGCTTCTATAGTATAAAAAAACAATGT